TCGGGTGGTCAGGCTCGCTGACTTGGTTGATACATGTCATCGTATCCCAATTGCGTGGATCGTTGCTCATGCTATTAACCACTGGATTGTCTGGTCCAGACTCGATTATTTACAGACCGCCGTCATATTGCTGAGTGGTATATTTCTCATGTTGAAGGCACTCTTGAAACATAAAATGGCCAATTCTAAATTGTGATAATTTGTAGTTGCCAATAAGGTCGAATTACATATTAATTCGGAATGTACTGCTCACGAACAATATATATGGGTGAAATGATACAGCTCTTTGAAAGTGTTCAGGTTACAATATGTATCAGATTTGGCAATTTTGCGTCGTCTCCTGGTGTCAATATTAAGCCATGACCATCGAACACGAGCACGAGTAAGAGCAAAGTGGGTAGGAAATATACACAAGGTCAAATCTTTTAAAATGTCTGTTTCAAATCGTGTCTTAAAAAGTAAGACAACATTAATAATTTAAGCATACGCGTCGCAGTAATACATATGCACATACTACTCAACTTCAAATAGGGATAGTCAGTATTCAGGTATGGGATTGTTATTGTTACTGATGTTATCAAACTCAATTTCACGAAAGACATGGGTATATAATTCCGTAAGTTCTGAGTTTCGCCAGAGTATCTCGATATCCTTTGAAAATATAAGAGTATCTACCTGATCACATCCGTCGCAGTCAATGTTTTCAAACATTCCTGATATGGACAAGATCAATCTTGGCTTTTCGAAATGAAATCCAAAGAATTGGCATGTATTATTTTAGTTGAATTTTCCTATACTCATTTGATCGTTTAGACAAATGTATACGAAAACATCCGTTATGACACGGGTATTGTATTGAAGTGCCTATATAATGCTTCAAGACTTCCAAACCCTGCCTTTGATATTTGAAATAATTATTTTTGGTCAAACCACGTATTTTTATCTGAAACGGGACTGATACGAAGGTGATTGTATTGGGGTAGCATTCAGGCATTGGAGCATGCTCGCACGCACAAACTAACCCCAACTAACATTCGTGCATGACAAGACCAAAACTAATATAACAAATATTCACTTTCGAATCAGCTCTTTTTGGTCATTTTGCTGTGATTTACCAACAGCCATCGCGCATTACAAAAATAACTTTGTGGCCTTTAACCTGAACCTGGGAGAGTTTGGAAGTCATATTGGAACTTAAATTCAAGTAAAGTTAACAAAAATCTATCACAAATGTCTATTCGAGTGTTTTATTCCGAAGAGCGATTGTAAGATGATATGAAACTATATGTACCAGTAGATGTTTGCAGTCTTTGTCGATTTATTACTGTTTAGCCATATATTTCAGAATCCGCATGACACGAGTATAGGTCATATTTGCTTCCGCAATTTTATCTGTTAAGAAATCATGTTAATAACCACATATAAAGGTTAACGTATAAGATGGTTATTAGATGTGCATTCATTGAGACTATTCGGAAAACATGATTGAACAGGAAGTAAAAATATGTAATTCGACCGATATTTTGATAACCTTTCTTATCAAAATGATTCATTTTACAACCTCCTGTCTTGCAGGTTGAGGGACTATTGGCCTGTTAACGTTTATAAAGGGGTTTGATGTGTAAACATCAAGGAAGCTGTAATAAATTACAAGCATTGTACTGATTACCAGAACCATACACAATGAATAAATAAATGCAGTAAAACGTGTCCCGCATATTTCTGGGCAACTGAAAGCATCCAGATGTGCTCTCTCTCTCTGTCTCTCTCTGTTCATCTCCAATTTATTATCCTGGGCCGAACCAGCCTGAACCTTAATTTGGTAGATAGTTATAGCTTTTCGCGTCAAATTTGCTGGAGTATACCACCCCTTTATTCTCGATCTTTGCGTTTCGATGGTTGGGGAAAAGGGGTGCTCAATCTTTTCCCTTTCGACATGGCTTCCTAACACGTTTCTTGGTTATAGAAGCTTCAGACAAAGAACCAATCAAACTGAATCCATTTACATTCTCTAAAGGTATCATTGGCAGTTGCGGAGAGGTAACAAATGTCACAAACTTTCGTTCTATCTCTCCTTGTAGAATGTACACAGAATGTGCAATGAGTTTGTTGTCTCACTGCACAAGACATTAAACTCGTGCAAAGACATTGTCGCGACACAGCTCGCTGCCTGTCTGGCATGACCAAAGACGAACCAGAACCAAAACCAGAAAACAAGGAAAGAAAATTTTTGAAAAAAGGACAGGTCGAACACACATACCAAAGGCCATAACTCCTATGGTCCTGTGTACATGGAGGTATATCGAAGGCTTGACTGTTTATTTGTTTGTTTGTTTGTTTGTTTGTTAAACGCCGCACTCGGCAATATTCCAGCTATATGACGGCGGACTGTAAATAGTCTGGACCAGATACTCCAGTGATTGACATCACGATCATCGATCCACGAAGTTGGGATACGATGACATGCATCAACCAAGTCAGACTCGATTATTTACAGACCGCCGTCATATAGCTGGAATATTGCTGAGTGCAGCGTAAAAACCAAACCGAACCAACCAACCCAACCTTAGGGGAGCATGGAGCTGTATAATTTAATGATAGGTTAATCAACACAATTGGGGGTTCCGGAAATCATCTTCCCACGTCCCCAGAACCCGTGAAGATCTGGGGTAGAATAGGTCGTCAGGGACCCATGCTTGCCGTAAAAGGGCGACTATGCTTGCCGTAAAAGGCGACTAACGGGATCGGGTGGTCAGGCTCGCTGACTTGGTTGATGCATGTCATCGATCCCGATTGTGTGGATCAATGCTCATGATATTAATCACTGGATTGTCTGGTTCAGACTAGATTATTTACAGACCGCCGCCATATAGCTGGAATATTGGTGAGTGCGGCGTTAAACAACAAACCAACCAACCAACCCACGTCCCCCTGCTCGTCGCGATCGCCAGAGACGATCCACACGGTTGCAAAGTACATATTTTATCACAAATTTACCTCAACATTGCCAGCATCATTCGTGTTTATATCACGGTCTTTCTTATGGTGCTGAAAACACCTATCACATGGATGCAGTGTGACATAACGCCGTTTTCTTGTTATTATTGTTATGTAGAGGGGAATGTCCGAGTAACTCTCCATTCCTTAAAAATAATGGAGCAGAGGCCCCGCAGGGGCCGAGGCCATTATTTTTAATGAATGGAGAGTTACGAGGATATTCCCCTACTTAAACTCATCCCTACTTTTACACTTTGACAAAATATTCTGTAGTTGCAAATATTTGAAAGATTCACATGCTGCTTTATGATAATGTACAGTTGACAAGCAACTCTCCATTCCTGAAAAATAATGGAGCGTTCAAACAATAGAATGACGTCACAGATGTGTTTTAATGCTATCCACTGTCACGGGGCACATTAGAATTTTGTTTGTTCATAAAGTGGAGAATATATAAATAAAGAAGAGATAGGCACTTGGATAGCTTTTGTCATCAGAAAAATTGATAAACTGTTAAATTTGTACACACAGGACCAGTTTTCGAACTTAACAAGTGTCTCTCGGATAAGCATGCAAGCATTTACGTAACTTTAGTAGTTTCGGGGCCAATTTTTGAACTCTACCTTGACAAGTGTCACTTTACATAAGCATGAAAAATGCCAAGGTCAAAGTTGCCTGGCCGTCAGCTGGCTTTGTTCACCGCTCAGTGCTACTGCACTGTGATGACGTCGCGGTTTCAAAAGCGTACACATTGTATCAAAAGTGTTATAACCAAATTGTATAACAAGCAACTCGAGTTGATTCGAGTCTAAAGTCAACAAAGCCAAAAGATATATGCACTGCCTAACAATTGATAAAAGGGCTGGTATTGTCAGTTTCCTACTTTCCACATAATCGTAGACTAATGGAACCTGGAATTTTCCGTGGTTTATGTTTGCCCATAAAAAATCCCGATGAAGGTGTCAGTGTTTTTGACGTAAAAACAAAAGTGACCGAAGTGGTCTTGATAACGTCATCAGCAGACTGTGTAAAAGATTACGTTACAATACTAATGGCAGTTTGGAATGTATATCTAGAAGAAATCCCTGTTACGTCCATGTAGTTTTCAGTGTCCGAGCTCTTTCATTAGTGATAAAAACAACGTCGGGGTAATTGACATCGGGCATTTTCACAGGACAACGTGTGTAACATCGCTAAACAGCCCCAACAATACTCAAATTGACATCGCTCAATGTCAGACATCATATTTCTTAAAAATGAACAAGATTATACTAACGTACTACCACCCAAGAGTAAGTACACGTAGATTCAATCAAAATCGTTGAAACGTTTTCGAAGTATTGCTTCGTTTTACAATCGCACTGACCGCTTATTTATACTTTGGGTGGTATTGTGTGTCTTGAATTTGAAAGCTCAAGAAGCGTAGAGTGGGCTGTATTTAATACGGATATAACAAATGTTGTTTTTTTTGCCCAGGCCATTTGCTGTGTACATGCTGTATATATGCTTATAACGAACTACGGTTGTAACGAACAAAAGATAGTGGCCCCTTAAATAACGAACTCAAACTGTAGTTAACTGTACGAGTAAATAACTTGCACAGGTGAAAGAAGGCAATATCATTGTTTTCACGGTACATACAATTATAAGTACTGTCTAGATTAAGTGCAAGAGAAAATGACAAAAATATGAATTATCATTTTAGGTCTTATTGTTTCACTAGGATTCACGACGAGTGGGTGAACTCTGTATCTTTTCGTGAAGTTGAATATTTGTCAGCAGATTCGTTTCGTGCTTTTGTTTGTTGTTAAACACCGCACTCCGCAATATTCCAGCTATATGACGGCGGTCTGTAAATAATCGCTTCTGGACCAGACAATCGAGTGATTGATATCATGAGCATCGATCCACGCAATTGGGATACGATGACATGCATCAACCAAGTCAGCGAGCCTGCCCACCCGATCCCGTTAGTCGCCTCTTACGACAAGCATAGTCGCCTTTTATGGCAGGTATGGGTTGCTGAAGACCTGTTCTACCCCGGATCTTCACGAGTCTTAATTGAAGTAGGCAGAAGTTATATGTGTGTTCATTATCATAGTCGATGTAAAGGTTATTGATGCAGACTTCTTCGTATGGAAAGTTCCAGGTATCCAAGGGCGTGCTGTGATGTGTTGCGGATTTTTGATGATATTAGTACAATAAATTGGATCTCTCACATTCGTAAGTTAATATTTGTAAGTGGTTTATCATATGTCTGGATCACTCAGGATTGTGGTAATGTTAAAGCTTTTTTAGCATGTTTTCACAGAGATGTAAAGATATAGAGTTGCAGAATTGGCATGACAAGATATCGAATTCCTTTTTTTAAATTTGTATTGTGGCTTCAAAACTGTAACGGGTGTTGAAAAGTATATAATAGAATTATTTCCTTCTGGGGATTTATTAAGAGTATATTGTAAATTTCGTTGTGCATCACATGAGTTGAAAGTGCAGTATAAACGGTTTAAAGCAAATGATGATCCCAAATGTTTCTGTGTACAAACTGTAATAGATGTTCTGTTGATGAGGAGTTTCATTTCCTCTTGGAATGTCCTTATTTTCAGTCTTTATAACTAAAAGGAAACCTACCCAGATAAGCACCTTTATTGATATATATGTTTAGAAACAACGCACTGTGTACATGCATTTGTGTATGTTCGGCACTGTGGGCATTTGGCCTCAAATGCACATCATGGCGGGGTTAAAAACGACAAAACAGAAATTCAACAACTTTACCAGCATCTCTCTCTGACTACCCTTTCGTAATAACAAAGTTCCAGTTTGGCTTTGCATTTGGCATTCGTGTGCGGATTTACGTTAAAATACCGTAATCTCTCTCTCTTATTCAAGCTCTTTATCCTTGGTATATGAAACCTTTCTGCACTTGTCAATTCGCTTGAGGTTATTTGAAGGTAAGGAAATGGTATCAAGGACGTCTTTCGACGAGTTCCATATTTTGAACCCTCTTCAGCTAAAGTCCACGTACACAGATTATTATTCATATATGCTTTGATTGCAAAACGGTCCTAGTTCGGAAATATATGTATATTGCTTGTTTATTACAACTTATATAAACTGGGAATTAACATGACGAATTAACATGTTATCTGAGCTGTAATTATGTATCACGTGATGCTCCTCTGGTCGGATAAAAGCGAAACAGCTTCGAATTCAGTTCGTACATCAGGGCGAGCTTGATACAGAACTTGGCGCCTACATCTCCAACGATTCCCCACCAAAATGATCCTGCAAGCAGCCTTACTCTTCGCTGGTCTTTCTGTGACAGCCAGTGCCAGCACCTGTTGTCCTCCAGTGAGATTCAGTGCAGTGCAATCTGTCACCATTGTCAACTCCACGTTTGCTAAGGATGTAAGTACAACGCCTCTCATTATATGTAATCACTCTCCCCTTTCCGCAACTTCAAGGGAAATTGCATGCTTTCGGTTGGTCCCGGAATGACAAGATGTATCATGTATGCCTTGGCTGTAATAAAACAGCGATATAAACTAACGAACCTTGTTATATGAATACACTTTATCATTATTTGTAAAATTAAATCAGATTCCTCAATCATAATTCAAAATTTTCGTTATCAAGCCGATTGCCATTCCTGCTTGAAGAAAGTGACACAAAACTATTTTCAGGGATATTTCCAACAAATTGCTCATGTATCGGTACGTGTATTTACCTTACCGGAACAGACAACATCTAGTAAGTGTATGAGAGTTATATACGTTTCTTATGTTATTGTTTTCTCTTCTCACTCGGCTCACTCAGTTTGCAACATATTCAGTGAAGAAGCAAAGTAAGCTGTCTGTTGCATGTGCTTTTCTAAAATTAGCCCAGGTACCCGGGTAGAGAGCCTTTTTATTTGACTCTACTGTGACTCCACACGGACTAAGCCACTCCCCACATGCAAGGCATGTCCATGTAGGTGCCTACCGTGAGTTGCAGCTTCAGGCAAATAAGATTTCATGAATAATATCCATATAATTAAGGTAGGCTTTGCTGAACCTTTATTCACAGAGGGGTGAGGGAAGGGTGTTTCTAAATTAGAAGTGATATGAACTACTCAAAAGGTCTGTGGTAGACATCTCCAATTGAGAAACACATATAATAACCTATAGTTAATGTGTCATGCAATGACAGATTAACTATAGTAATATGAAAGGGGGGCACGGGTGGCCCAGTCGTCTAAGGCGCCGCGATTAGCTGTGCAGAGTTGCGTCCCCTGGACACGTCAGAAACCTATGATTGTGGGTTCGAATCCCGGTTCACCCCGATTATGTTTCTAGGTTTGTCAGTACCATACCCGTGCTCGTGGGTTTCACCGAAGTGGTAAACGTCTAAGACCTGCATCACCTCGGCTTTCCTCCAAAATAAGCTGACACGCCGTGACATAACTGGAATAATGTTAAAAGCGGCGTCAAACCCAACTCACTCACTCACTAGTAATATGAAAGAATTATGAGTCAACTTCTTTCGAGTAGTATATTATTTTAGTCACGGCTTCAAAACATGCAGCTGTTTTTACTGGGAAGGAGGAGCAGAACAATTTAGGCAAACCTGAGGGCAAAGTATGTAGTTCCAGTTTTATCAGAAACATTATATTTTTATTTTTAAATATCCCCCAAATATCAAATGGTCGGTATCACAGAGTGAGACCCAATGTTTCCTGTTATAAATAAAAGCACACGATGGCCAAGGTCAGCGCAAACAGGCAGAGCGAAGAGAAATGTCAACTCGTTGCGTAATGATTCACGGATATTTCCCACTTATATCATATATATTCCAGATGCTATTGAAAACACATCGGAACTTACAGGTAAAACTGTTCAATCATACTGTATAATCCTGTATTTTGGGTAAGACATGTAAAATCAATTATAATTCCTGAGAGATTCTTTGACCGAAGTACTTGAAGTCATTCGCGCATTCTGACTGGTTTGTCGTATTTTCGCACATGGCATTCATCACAGAAAGAGGCGAGTCGTGACGAATGTTATCTATTATGAGGTTAATTTTCGGTTTCAGATACGTATTTCATTATACATTACACAAGAAGACAGCTAGGGTCATGTGACTTTCTGTTTTAAAGGTTCATGATAACTTCATTTAGCTAGCTGGCATCCTCCCGAGGCAAGAGCGTCCACTAGCCTTTTTATCAAAGTCTTGTTTCCACCTTTGGCACATCAAACCCACTTTCCAGTGCTAAATATGATTGGACTATCGCATATATCAATAGTCTAATCAGAGAACGTTTCACCAAATCAACATCCTGCCTGAAAGTGATTTACCCCTGCCTGTCTTTGTTGACACGAAAATGTCTTTTTCATCTTTTAAACACCTCAACCATTGCCTAACTTTTTGTGTCTAGGTTGAATTCACGAATGTTTTCGTTATCTGATCGACAAGGTCGTCGCCTATCGTAGTCGCCATCTTTGTGAAGCTATACGAGACAAGAACAGCGATCTGATTGGATATCGCGTTTTCCTTACAAGGGGCACAACTCGGGATTTGGCAAGGGTAGAAGCCAGGCTTTGATATGCCCGGACACGCTGGCCTCGGGAAGATAGAGGCAGGGGACTGGTTTGAAATTGTGTTGAATTAGGCATTTTTTCGAAACCAGAAGTAATTTTTAGATATCTTGGCATGCATTATCTCAGCTTGAGGTACATTTATCTTGTCCGAGGTTGTAGGACCAGAATGGTAACGACTGTATATTATAGTGTTTGGACCGTCTAGATTTTGCAACAGTTTTCACATATTTGCCTCGCTTAAATTGAGATTTAGGAAATATTGTCTTTATTCAGATCTTCCTAAATTGACAGTGCAAAATGACTCCTAGTGGTATTATTGTATATTTTCAGGCTTTGTATTCATTCACCTACGACGGCATCAACCAAAGATACGTCATCAGCGGTGACCTCAGCGACGGATTCGTCACGACCACCAAAGTAATCTACGATTACCCGAAGGTAAGCGAGACCTCCATTAAACATTTCGACAACGAGAAGGTAAGCGAAACCCCCAAGAGAGCTTTACCACTGCAAGAAGGTAAGCGATATCTCCAGAGAGCTTTAGCACTACAAGAAGGTAAGCGAGACCTCCAGAGAACTTTACCACTAACAGAAGGTAAGCGAGACCTTTTGAGTGTTTGTTGTGCCTTAATTATGTTCCCTTTTTATATTTGAAACATTTATTCATGTTTCACCGTTACAATAATCACTGGAAGCATTCATAAACCAACGACCAAGTATGATTAGGCCAGATCCGCGCAAAATTAGAAATGGGCAAATCTCAGTTATCAAATGTATTGGAATTATTCCTCTATCGGTAGCCAGAAACATTTGAAATTATATTTTATCAAATAACTATTTTATGCAAATCATAGCACAAGTCTTGGAATTGTATATTAGTGGAAACTGTACTTGAGTTTTTTTAATTTGTGACACGAACAATGATGCATTTTATATTACTAGATAAGAAGGTATATCCTTGCTTATCCAATAAACTATCAACAAAAATAAAATCCTAATTACATTACATTACTAATATTTATGTATTTCGTTTCATTGTTGACTTTAGGAGGAATTATTTGCGAGTACAATTAGTAGCAGACATGTTTATGTTTGTGTCTACGTATGTGTAGCAATAGAATGTAGTCGCCACAAGATATGTTTCAAGGTAGTCATTTGGCCACCTCTGAATCTTAGACAGCAGACACATTGAAATTTAGGTCGCATCGGCGACCGTTTTAGTCTCAACTTCGAGGCCTGGAACATCAGAAAGACTTCGATCTGAGCGTTTCTGTTTGAGATGTTGATCAAGACAGTAAATTGTATGGTTAAAACGTTTATTGGCCATAGGATGGGCTCTTGAACAAGTCTGCCAACATTCATGCAAGTATTTCCAGGTTTTGAGCACTTTAAAATTTGAAGTTAGGCCCTTGCCCACTTTGTCCTTCGCCTTGCATTTTCACAAAATTCGTAAAAAGGTAATAATGATTTTTGTTTGCAGAGAACTGGTTACCGAATTGATACAGCGGCACGTACGTGTTCAGCATTCCGCCTTCAGGGGCAGTTCAAGGATCAGGAGAGTGTTTGCGTTCCAAGTAAGTCATTTCAAAATACATCTCACGGGTGCTAGCATGATACCATGCCGCAATTTAAGATGGATACCCGACTCAGACACACTATACTGACTCTCAAACGATCCGTCTTTGTTTTATCCCCTAAATATCGAGCACCAAGATTAACAACAGCAGGTACCACCTATTAACGTCCATTGGTATGACGCGGCTGAACTGAACTTTATTTCACTCAAGTCTACAAGACATAGCAATTTGTAGCCTTTGACAAGGATTGACACTATAAATCAGCATCAGTCCGCACGCACGCACGCACGCACGCACGCACACACACACACGTGCTTACAATAGGCACGCTATGTAAGTGCAATAATACCGACGTTAAACCCCATGTCGCCCCATGTCACCCCATGTCGGGGCGGTCGGGTTCGATTCCCTGCATGGGTACAATGTGTGAAGCTCATTTCCCCACCGTGCTGGAATATTGCTAAAAGCAGCGTAAAACCATACTCACCCATACAACATGTTCAGTACTTTTGCTTGCCAAGTCCACTTTGTAAGGGAGCCCCTCCCTCACTGCCACAAGTGTTTCAAACATTTTTAGATATGTTGGTCTGTTGTGAGATGTCAGTCCATTGCATGTGTTAAAATTCACTTTCCCCACCCGTAACATGAAACGGTCTGCTCTTATCTTAATACTATGTGTCACCACAGGCGGTGCCGTCTCCTTGGGCCCTTTCTTTTACGGCTACGATATTGGCAGGCTGTCTTCAAGGGCATACACTTACAATAGCACCTCCGTCAACGGGGAACATCAGAAAGTCGTGGCTACCGTCACACGGAAAGACTGTGTACCAATCGTCATCACCACGACCACAACCGGCCCAGGTTTGTATTTGTGAGTAAGAGAATGAGTGAGTGAGTGGGCATCAACACCGCTCACTCAGCGTATCAGTAATAACGTCGAGTATCAGCCAAATGATTAAAGGTGAGTGAGATGGTTAACGCCAGCTTGAGTGAGCATGTCTCTGACAGAACGCTCTGTCAGCTAAATGTGGAAAGCATGAGTAAATGTGTTTTTTTCTCTGCTTTGAATATTTATATCAGGGTACGTCAGTTCAATGGTTAAAAGGTGAGTGTGTTAGGTTCAATGCCGCCTTGTACTGTATTTCGGTTATACCAGCTTATTACGGACAGAATGAGTGAGTTTAAAATCCGCGTCGAACCAATGTCATTAAAATAAGAAAAAAATAATCTTTTACTCCTATACACTACCTTTCTGCGTGAAGGTGGGTATTCTAATCAGCCAATCGGGGTCGAGGCTTTTAATCCTTGGTGCCAGTGAACGATGCATTCAAACCAACAAATCTTATTTCTCCATCTCGACCGGGAAGTTAAACGACCATGTCCGAATGAAGATAAAAAAGGCCGAATTATTTGATCGTTGTAGATATTTCATTCACCCTAGCGTTTCAGAGGGGTTACTGTGGGTTTTCGTTTGTTAAACACGATTTTTTTTAAATCAAGATGGTAAAGCGAAACCGAATCGTTTTAGAGAGATGACATCTGATTGGCTCAAGAACCCACCCATCTTTCATTTACAGCGATTGTCAGATCTTCACGCAGAGACTGACTTCGAACACTTATTCCACGGCTCGTAAGATTCATGTCGAAGGGAAATTAAAAGTCCTTACGACTCAACATTTGAAAGAAGCAAAGTAAAAACCCAGAAACCTGTGTTTTTAGTTGGTGTTTGATTTTTTTTTCAAATTTTAGAATGTTGTGAAATTTACTTCGCACATTATAAAACAGAACATATTTCCCACATTCGAAAGAACTTAGAAGTAGATAAAATCACCAAGATTTATAAACAAAGACATCTGATGGCGTGAGATCATCCTCTGGTTTGCCTAGCCCAGTCAATTATTTACAGACCGCTGTGATATAGCTCATATATTGTTGACTGCGCGACGTAGAATAACATCAAATATACTGACTGTGAAATATACATTCCAGAAGGAAACGCTCTTAAAGTTCTCGGGTACAACGACGTGGTTCCGGGCATCAGCGACTTCTCTGTGTTCGACATTCCGGCATACTGCTATGCGTGATACCGTACGTACTACTCACTCAATAAAAAATATTTCACTCAATTACTTAACACTGAACCATATTCTAACTTTCCACTCAATGGCACAGCAGTGTGTTGCTTTACTTTCTTCCTTCCATATATAACATTATGATTCTACTACATGTAATGAGTACTAATGACACATTTATTGGAATTTCTTTTTTGCTTAAATATGACGAGTAACGTCCGGTGTCTTAAGACATTAAAGTATATATTTTTGATTATCATATATGTGATACAATTGCAATTTTTACCTTAAAACAATCTTTTTCTATTTCAGATCATCTGAAGAGATACATTGGGATCTGTTTTTCTCAAGTCACTTTCAGAATGTATCATCTTGCCAGATGTACATGATATGAATAATAAAAATGCGTTCAGCAAAATTGTCTTAAACTTTATTTATGTTTTTCCACTGTGCTACAAAATCGATAAACCTTGGCACTTTCCAGATTCCGGATTAGAACTAGAGTGAGTGAGTAAGTATGGTTTTACGCCGCTTTTAGCAATATTCCAGAAATATCACGGCGAACCCGGGTCCTCGGCGTGACGAGCGAACGCTTTAACCACTAGGCTACCCGACCGCCCCGATTAGAACTAGAAGACAGGTATTTGGCCTAATTCACGGCGTATGTTGTTGGCTGGCCAATTGCTTATCGGTGAAACGAAAAACTAATTCTTCCGGGTTTTGGTACAATGCAAAGGCTGACAACTTATGTCACATATTAATCGATGTCATTCTCCAACTTGCCTTCAGGTAGGTTACGGAAAGATGCCAGTGTTGACGAATGATTTTCATTTCATATCTGAACACTAACTTTTCTGTAACTAAGGAAAATCAGTTTGTCGCAGTTACTAACATACCCAATTTTCAGGTCTTTTCCTAACTTTCTGAGAAAGGGGGTCATGCACACAACCAGAGATATATAGTTGAATGGAATTTCTAAACATGAAAATATCAGCTGCGTCATTTGACTGCTCCGGCCTACCCAAACGAATCGACAGGCAATGATTTATCTTTGGCTGCCACTGGATGACAGTAAACATCCATACATTGCTTAATATCTGACAACGGGGTTTCGAACACAATCCACGCACTGACTGTCAGTTACACACGGCCTCATGTCACAACTTACTTGCTCATAATGTAGTTGGAATGTTTCGACAACAACAGACACCACCGAGAACAACCAAGAAATTATGGACCAAAGGTGCTTTATGTCCATCGCTGCTTTCAGTAGTGAAGGGGCCGAAGACCCGGGTTCGATTCCCGACATGGGAACAATGTGTGAAGCTCATTTCTGGTGTCCCCAGCCGTGATATTGCTGGAATATTGCTAAAAGCGGCGTAAAACCACACTCACTTCAGTAGTGAGATCAACGTACGATTATATGTAATCTGCCAAGTCACTAAACCTGGGACATATTCTAATAAAAGCGGCAATAACCATTTCCATAATCATAAGAGTCTCATAAGCATGTGTTTATGAAGCACTATCAAAATGAGATGATACCAGGTGTTCACGAAAATGTGAGTATATTTGCCCCACAAGTTGCACCGATCACAGACACATTCAAAGGCAAGTTAATTATTCACCTGAACAGGAACGTTCCGAACAAGTCAAAATAGGCAATTCGATCACAGATCCTTTTCGTCACTAATGTCTCAAATTTGAAGATTTCTTCCACATGTCTACAGTAAGCTTTACTGAAGCCTTTGGTGTAATTTGGAATTAAACCCCCGAGTTAACCTGGACTTCATAAAAGCATGAAGTTGTTTTAGAGTTTTAGTCCATAGTAAATCACAAAATATTTCCCCTAGTATACTCTTTCTCAAATTAGGTAATGCTCACTCTCTTGGAAAACTTGTGAGGCACACAAAACCTGTCTTGTCTCCAGCCTAAAACCTGTCCCTGAAAATAAATGCAACAACCAATATAATTGGACTAATAACCGAGTCAGAGAGCCTGACCTTTTCGTGCCAGTGCGTCATGTGGGCACATCCGTCTAGATCTGCTCACCTGTATACCACACTATCTGCACTGAAAGAACCATCTCGCAACAACACAAACATCAGGTTCTTTCCTGAAATGGAACAAATTGTTTCCGTTCCTAAATATATTGTCAGGTTCGTCAAGCGGACGCCTGCTCGGAGCTCGATCCTCGGCCGCTTCATACCAAAAGACATTAAGAGCTGATACTTGTATCGAAACTGGAAATTGTTTTACCTACAACTACAAAACAAATTATTTTTTTATTAAGAAACCATGAGCCTAAATTTCTTGTAAACAAACAACCTTGCAACAATGTTATTATTGTGACAGGCAATTCTTTTTCAACAGTCTGAAGCAAAATTATTTTATTTAAGAAATTATGTCGACAATTATATTTTTCGATAAAATTCCAGCTCCCACATTCCCCGTCCAATACTGGTCTTATATGTCAAATATAACACAACTTCCGCAAACACACATTTGGAATAATCACTGGACAAGTAAGATGAGTAAAGAGGTGAATAAACACCCTAATAAACACCCTAATAGTGATGATGCCATTGACAGTGAAAGCAAAAACTGTTTACAGGCTGAGTGGAACCATTGCAATAACAATCATTAACAAACCATCAACAAATTAATCGTAATCGTAATTAATCATAAATCGTCACGTAAGGGTGACATTGTCATGTCATGTCTTCAAGGTGATGCACTGGCGCCGAGCCACCCACACCCTTGGGTAGCGTCCGTGAATATCCGGGTTAGAACTGGTCTTCAACCGTATGTTCATGCATGTCATGGAATCTTTATTGAGTAGGTCGGTCCATCACTGTATTGTATGGCCCGGAATCGATTATTTACAGACCACCGTCATCAATCAACAATCGGAATAGAGAAACCATAAAAACATTCTCACATTTGCGTCTTCTGAGCATTGCGCAGCCTTTATGCCACGTATATGCAATTCAAGCTCTCCGTTTTAGGTATTCGCGCCAGACCGTCCCTGTTAGAGAACCGTGCTCATGCATCATGACGAGGTCATGCATTTCGCCACATGCCACAGGATACAGCATGACTTTGCATTTTCCGCATTTACTTTTGGGCACAAACAAGCACGGATAGTCTTTTGAAAAAAGGTCTCATTTTGAGGTCAAGAGATGTGTAAATTCAGATAACAAGTGACCGATATGTGTTTGGCCGCCGTGGTACACTTGAAAATTGGATTTGACCAAAACATTACAAACGTTATCAAAACGTTACTGGGCTGAGACAGTTGCCGAAACACTGACAAATGAGGGTTCACAACACAGCTATGATACCCGTATCAAATACAACAACATCGAATAACCATTTCTTGTTTGTTTCATTGCAAGCCGCCATCTTACATGGGTGTATACTTTCGTGGGTTCAGCAGTTTATTTGGGAAAAATACATCACAAATTGAGTTAATTGTTTTTTTCCACACCGGAGTAATTTACTCACCTGTAAATCAGGAGGCGTGTATAAAATCTTCTAGCATGCTTATCATGTATTGGGTGGGGTGGGGATACGCCCCCCTGCACCCTCCCCTCTTGTAACATTAAAATGGGAGGAAAACAGGACCAGTCATTTACCTCTTTGTGAATACATAAGCACGTGCAGATTTGAAAAAGCCTTGACACATTGCTGGTAGTCGTGGTGTAAGATTGAAGAGTAGGTGAGGTGAAATGGGGTTTAACGTCGCGTCCAAGATTATATAGCGACGTGCGTGCGTGCGTTCGTGCGTTCGTGCGTGTGTGTGTGTGTGTGTGTGTGCGCGCGCGCGCGCGTGCGTGCGTTTGTGCCTGCGTGCGCGCTAGTCAGGACTGATGCCAATAACAACAACAAAGGATAACAACAAGTAACATCTTTTGGTATGACGCGGCTGGGGATCAAACCCCGGACCTTCCGCTCTCCGGGCAGGCGCCCTGTCCCCGAGACGAATGTATTTAGGATCTGAAAACAATTTGTTCCATTTCAGGAAAGAACCTGATGTTTGTGTTGTTGCGAGATGGAACTGGGTTCGTACAGTGCTGACGGTGTTGTATGCAGTACTGCCGCACTGGTAAGAAAAGGCTAGGCTCGCTGACTTGGTTAATGCATGTCATCGCTCATGATGTCAATCTCTGGGTTAGCTGGTCCAGACTCGATTATTTACAGACCGCCGTTAAATAACAAACAAACAAACAACCCTTAGACTAGGTAACTGTTTCATCTAGAGATGTTCTCTTGATTAAAGTCAAAGCCTTGGAGTTATGTTTTCACAATGGAAGTGCTTTGGGGAATGCTAATATTAGGAGGCTTTGAGGAAATATCAATGTCTCAAATTTATCAGAACTCCTGTTTTACTTTCTCAGCTTTCTTCAATGTTCCCAGTGGTATATTCCCTTTCTCCCAAATATTGAATTGTGAAATATAAATAAAAATATATATATTTTTTGTCTTATTTCAACCCTAGAAATAGGTAAATAATAAGCTACTAATTCATTGTCGCTGTCAATATGTATATTCCCTTTCTGTCCTTTTTGACCTAATACTCGATTGTTTATCAGATGTATGATGTTTGAATGTTGAAATTCCTGCTATGTGACAAGTGTGCAGGTGGAAGGAAAAGGTAACAGATCATGAAGTTTGATTTTCAGGATTTGTTCTTAATGATTTTTTTCGTTACTCCACTACCAGACTGAGCCGCATCATTTCAAGAGGAAGTGTTCATGTTATTTTTTAGAGGGGCTGATGGTATAGTTTGAAAAAACCCCATGATTTTGCAGCTTAATATAGAACAAGATAATTTATGTTTGTATTTTTTTGTCTTATTTATATTGTGACAATTTTGTCAAAGAGGTATCAGGGAATTCTTAGGTCAGCCCTAAAATTCACTTTGATGGCATTCCCAAAGACAAAAACAAAACTATAATATGACTACTTTTTGCGTCATTGGGCAAATTTCAAGATACTTGTAATGGCCGCGCCCATCCCGACGGCAGCGATGTTACCGAGAGTGTAACGAAGGTGTCACGCGCTGGGAAGGAGCTTGGATTCCAGGGTAGTGTGGACCAGACAATGTAGCAGTCAGCATAGCATAGCATATTTGGAATTTTTAAACAGCTAATGTGCAGTGATCTTCATGTTAATAGTGTGATTAAGGCCATAAGAATCCTTATATCACACCCTGATTCATTTCTGTCACAAGGCTTGGAGAATCTTATTACATTCATAGCTTTTCCTTGTCACACCGCCCTGGTTTGATTCCCCACATGTATGTGATATATGATGCTAATCTCTTGTGTCTTGTACTTTCGTTTTTCTGCTTGAGGGGATCGTACGAGAGTAATAGATCAGAGTCACAGGAAAACCTGTCAACACAATAGTTGTACG